TAGATGACATCTGTAGCCCCTCCCATGTCTGCTGATGTAGTCAGTCCATCACTTTCAACTTTTTAAAGCCTTTTCTAATAGTGTATTGCTTGGAAAAGACTTAGATGTTCGTGAGGAATGTGGATTTTGATAGTGTGATGAATATTTTAGTTACCAGGAGAAAGAGGCTGAAAACTTTGAAATCTGTGCACAAATCTAGTTTTATTTCAGTTACCTTCTTCAGTAGCTACACAGAATACTTTGAAAACTGGACATTAGCTGAATTAAGTATGATTGGTCTTATTAAAAACCCAAATCTCTGCCCAATCAGTTTTGAAAATCATTGTGCATGAAGCATTTCGCTGCTCCTACTTAAAACAAGATCTGACAAATGAAATTGTAAAAAATAAAAAGTAAAAAATGCACAAAACTACCAAAATGGCCTAGAGCATTAAAACCTAAAAGATTTAATCAAAAAAAAGAAAAAAAAAAAAAAAGCTGCTGTTAGTTGTATCTAGTATACTACCCATAGGTACAAGTGACTGGAAGCTTAGAAGTTTATATAGTTATTAATTACATTGAGAGCATACATACATGTAGGCCTATTAAGTAGTGTCAGATGATGTTTAAAAACCTTATTTCTGATATTCTCAGTGTGGTATCAGAAGTGGAATTAAAAGGAGGCTAGAATCAGAAAACAAACTACTTAATTCTGCGAGGAGCCTAAGAAAAGGCATCTAACCTCTGAAGTAGTTTATGGCACTAGTTAGCTTAGTGTCCCATAACCGACATTCGCTTGGGGGAACTGTGGGTGGCCTGGAAGCTGCCCTAGTGTACTTCTATGTACAAGGTATAGAAACATAGCTGGCTGTCGGCCTTAGCCATGCAAGTCTTCTGTCCCTGTTAAACATTCAGCAGGTCTTATGCAAACACATGCTGGTGCTTCTCAGTTGTTCTCCTGCGGCACTGCTGTTGCCTAGAAGGAAAGAGGAGAGGTTGCTGTTTTAAGGAAGGAGACAGTCATCACCTACTTCATGTTCTCAGCATGGGCCTTTATTCCCAGAGTAGCTCAGCACCTTAAAGCACTTAGTGTATTCATTTTCAGTACTCCTTGCCAGAGTTTTATAGAGGGCACTGTGCACCTGGCAAAATCACTCTGTCCATTGGCTCTGTGTGACCACGAGCAAGCCCACAGCAGAAGGAACAGCTGAGGAGTGCTTCCTCTTTCAGGCTGTCTTTTCTCCCCGATACTCTGCTCTCCTTCGTTTTGACAGAAACTGCTTGAAAGTCCAGCTTGGAAGATAGGCTGCAAAGAGAAACCACCTCCCCCACCAAAATTCCTGGCAGCAGGGACTGATGTGCGGTGACACCCATGACAAAACCAGTTTTCCCTCAGTGAACTTTCGCATTGGTATTCTCACGGCTTTACCTGAATTGTGTAAACGGTTACTTCCGCAGGCAAGTCCTTGGACATACTACATAGTATTTTAATTACGTAGGCCTATATAACTTACAATGTATTTACTGGAGATTTAGTTAATTAAGACTTCGCCATGGCCAGAAGCCACTAGGGATTTACCTGTGCGTTTTACCTGCAGAAAAATGTGAGACAAAGAGGAAACACTGAATGTGCTTTAGCTAGGCAGATCTTCTCACTTATAAACGATACACAAGTGTATTTTACATTACTCTCTTGGTGTTTTTAACTTACAGCTCTCTGTCTTCCTATGTTCTTTTGAGATCTGGTAAGCAGAAGAATGTTTGATTTTCCAGTCAGCTTTTCAGAAACCCTCACTGAGACCAGAAGGTTTTTTAACGTGAAGTCATTTCAGGCAGCTGGGTGGCCCAAACTCACTACCACTTTCCTCCTTACTGAAATTCCATTTACAGGGATTCATGAAAGAGACCCAATGATTAAGATCTACCTCTCTCCTGTAAGCCAGACCCAGTTTCCCACAAAAGGTACAAACACTGCCAGATGGTTACAGACCAAGGGTAGGAAAATAGTCCAAGCCAAAACATCTAGTCTCACGTGTTATCTTACATACTTCATATTCAATAAAGACTTAAAACAAAAAGAAAGAAAGCAAACACTGAATTCTTGCATGAATTTTGTTCAACATTTTCCCATGTTTATTTCCCTTTAAAATCTGAATTATAAATTCGAGTTTACTTTCTCAAGGACCTTTCAAACTTGGGAAGGTCAAAGTTTGTGTTTCAGCTGTTTGATAAATTTGTAATCACGTAATGTGACAAGGTTCACAGAAATAATTTACATGGTACTTGTCGATTATATAAAACTTTAACTGGATCGTACTAAGGGCTCACTCCAGGAAACTCCTGAGCACTGAATTTCTGGCTTCAGTGAAAGGTGAAAGTGTTCTGCATCTAACAAAACCAAACAGTCTTTGAACCTCTGTGGCTGAACATCAAGAATCTGTCTTTTCTCCCCGTATAAGTAGTTATGTTTCCCTATGCATGGAGGAGCACTAAAAGAAACCCTATTAAAAAACCCTATTAAACTCTCCCTAGCTTGGTCCCCCAAAAGCTGATCTTAAGATTTCTTTTCTATCCAAATAAAATCTCATGCCATTGCTCAAGAATGCAGACAAGAGCCAACCAGCCTACTCTCACTCTCAGAGCAAGTCTTTCTGTGTCAAAGTTTTGATTTTAAAGAATTAAATTAACTATATTAAAGAATTCTTTACTTTAAGTAAGCTACAAGGCTTAAAACAACTGACTTGAAATGTTTTTGGCAGAACAGTTTAGGCAGGAAGTGTTACACATGACTTAGAGTTGGCCAAAACAAGGTAGCTGCTTCATGGTTTTCCATTGACTAGGTTGCATTTACTCATTTGCTGCCTGAAGACGCTTAGCTAGTAGCAAAATTCTCATTAATCCTCCTCTCTGCTCAGAACTGATCTCCTGTTGATGAAGGGCAGGCAAGCTACGAAGCAGGGAACTCCACACGAGGGAAGTGCAAATCGACAAATCAAGTAGCATTTGGGAACAGGTTTTATGCTGGTCCTAGACGGGGATGCCCCAGGAAAGGCAGGGCTGCTGGACCTCCTGCCTGTCCTGGGGCACCGGGGCTCTGCCCTGCGCAGGCAGGAGGACAGCCCCTCGCACCCGTCCCCGCAGGGGCTGAGGGCTCCGAGCCCGGGGCCGGGCGGGGAGCGTGTTATCTGGTACTTACGCAGAGAGTCCTTTCCCCAAACTGGCTGTAGAAGGTCATCTTTACTTTGTGCTTGTGTCCAGTCCTCTGATCAAAGGTGTTACAGCTGTCGAAGGGTGGGCTGTACAAATGCAGGCTAACGGCAGACTCTGTGTGGCTTATGTTCTCCACACGGTGCAGGCCAATGGAGTCTACACCAGCGAGGGCATGAAATGAGAGGTTGTGTTAGCGGGAAGATTTAACAAGATCTCAGGTGCCTGGAAAAATGCTTTCTAAACCAAAACTCATGAGTAAGCCAGTTAGGCATGCCTGCACTTTTATGGGCAACAAGTAACTCGGTACAGGGAATTTGCTGTTCTGTAGCACAGATGCATAAATACACTGGTAATTCAAAATACGTTATTGCCTTCCACACTTCCTGTAACTTCTGGATTATCTGCTACAGGATAAAGGCCAATAGAAATCCAGAGAAACTTAAGGAAGGCCATGCTGTCGGTAATTTTCTATCTATCATTCCCAAAGGACTTCAAGGTTGTCTACTTTCCGAAGGGATGCTGTTGTTATAGATGCTCCAGAAGCAGGAAGGTTTGTGTTTCTAAAAATTAGCAAGACATTTTACAAGGAAAAAGTTCTTGTATTGCTAATTCTCAGCCTGGTAACAAGGATATCAGTCACATTAAAGGTCAGCTACATGTATTTGGGGCATGGACTTATGGACAAAGATGCAGTTGTCTTCTGCTGCAGGCATCTGTTTCCTAATTAATCCTTCCAATTTATTAGTTTGGAGAACAGGATTTTCATTTGTCTGCTCTTTTGACTAAGGTGGCAAATTAGTGGTGACTGGCATACTTCCAACCTTAACTGAATAGTAAGCATAACTGAACATGTAATAAAACAAGGCACTGTCTGTTGTGTGGGTACTAATGAAGTAATGGCACTTTCTGCGACGATGGAGTAGAAATCAAGCTATTACGTAAAAATGTAAGGTATGAAGAATCACATCCATGAAACAAACCATTTCCATTCTACACTAAAGTGAAGTTTTTGAGTTACTTAAAAGAGACCTTGAATTTAAATTTATGACCTTGCTGTAAAAACAACTGAGGCCTTTGTACTTGAATTAATATGTTATATAATACCTAGACCTATATTATGCAACATAGACATGATACCCTGAGAATCATGAGTACAAATCTGATACATTTGAAGTGTAAGCCCTAAGTGTTGTTAACATAGTTTATCTACATATAGGACGCAGGGGAAAAAAGTCCTAAATCTGTGCTCATCTTATGGGAGACTCAAATAAACTCTGTTTAGTGAGTTCTAACCTTAAAAATACAGTACAAGAGCAAACACGAGGCATCAATAGAAACATGAAGGTCACTCACTGTTGAAGTAGTTAGGGCAATAAACACTGTCAGTGTTTTCCTTCTACTTGTTTTACCTGTTTCTTTTAAACCAAAACATCTGTTATGAAACATGGCAGCGATCCAAACTACCTCAGAGAATTGGATACCAAATTTGTTTAAAACAACCAAGGAAGCTTTGGATCAGATGCACACAGGGTGCAATTGCTTTCATCAGAAAGAACCACCTAGGTAGGAAAACCTGACTGAGTCTGAGAACCCACATCCCTGGCAAACGTGTCAAGCTCCTTCTTGCATTTCCTGTCGTATGGATTTTGTGTTCTCACTTAATGTGGCATACCTTCAACAGAGGGCTGCAGAGCACTAGTCTTTCTTCCCCAGTGCTCTCACTTTGGCTTAGTCCGTAACCCAACATGAGGCTCCCTCCAGCTGGGGAGTTCCCAAGCTCAGCCCCACAAGGTGTGTGCTCCAGTTTTTAACTCATCACATAAAAGGCAGACGGCCCCCTTCTCTGGAGCTTTGCCTTTGTTCTGCTGAACTCATTGCTGTTCAGCATGATGTGCAATGTCTTTCATAGCATCAGAATACATTACACCCAGCTGGCCACTCCAGGATGGCCTCCAGCATAGCACGAGATGGTGATAGTTATAGATATGTGTAATGGCATGGATTTAAGTACATAAGGAGTCTTACTGGTGGAGACTTAGTTGTCTCTCAGCATCTGTGCAGTTAGGCAATTGTTTTTTGTAGATTGGATAGACTTGAGCATTTCAATTCTGCTGACGCTGCACTTCAGCACTACAGTTTTTTGTTGATTTGGACAAGAAGTAGCACTGAGGATCGGGGCATTTGCTCCATGCTGGTCAATTTATTCCATAGACAGCTTTTACATTTTTGACCTAGGATTTCTATGACTGACCAAAAGGATTATTTGTTTGAAAAAAAATCAAGGTGATTAAGCTATCTAAACTTTGGTTCCCTTATTTCTCACAAAGTACTCTTTAAGGTCTATGTTTACAAGCAATTTCAGGTAGTCATTAGGGACACAGTGCAGAAGGCTGCTTGGTCTAGAGGAGATACCTGGCATATTTAAGTATCAAGCAATTGCTGCAATGTCGTAAGAGTGAGTTAAAAGGACATTTTTTGTTGTTTGTTTTACTGAATCTAAATACAGGTTTGTGCAGAATCTAGAGAGCCACGTTTTTAAACTGTGCATAAAGCCATTAGTATTATACTGTTAAAGGTAGGAGACTAGAGAGCAGATGAACTCTTCTGTTAGGAATAAGACTGATGGACGGGCAGTTGTCAAAACAAACTTAATAGCTTACCATTAATGTAGGCACATTGATTTTCCCTCAAAACTCGTTCTGATTTCTTAGCCATTTCACCATTCCCTTTTTTCTCAGGCCATTCAAACAGAGTTTCCTTTAGATTTCCCTGGAGGATCTTCATAAAGCAGTGTGAGTCAGTGTGATCATGGATGCTGCTATATATGTAAAAAGAATAACCAAACTCAGTGTGACATACATACTTAATTTCAGTACAGTTCAGACAGATGGCATAGCATATTCATCTGGACATAGCCCTAGAATGAAATGCCATTGCACAAAAGTCTTAGGAAAAAAAGATTCACAGTGACTAAGGTATGCCTACTTAAAACTGCTACTTTAGAAATGTGTTGTGATAAGCTCACACACAGCAGGACTTGGAGAAGAGTCAGATATTGATCAATCTATGACTTTGTCACAGAGAAGTACAAAGGATGTCTGGAGGAGGGAGGAGTACAGAAAAATTCTTCAGAACGCAAAAACTCTTGTGGGCCAAGAAACAAAATGACGCTTTCCAGTCACCCCAGGCAGAGGCTGGTATAAACTTGCAAGTATACCTGATATTTGCAGATCCACCATGCTCGCTCCTGAAACATGGGAGAAATTAGCTACTTCTGCTTAATTTCTATGGTGTCTTTAATGCTGGGGTGCACAGGCATTTATTGAAGAAAAAAATGCTGTACCTCTCACTCTGATAGTACTAAGTACAACCAACTACAGTAAGCTGTTAATTTCAATAGTTTCGCAAAATATGAAGAAAACAGCAGGATCCGGTATGATTTGTTTGCTTGCTAGATCTGTCTCCTTGCCCCGAAGTATGTTTTAATTGCTACGTTTGGAAACATATGGGCTTGATATGTAGTTTAGTTTTTGTTTTATTTTTTTAAAATAGAGGACTAACTGTTACAGAAGTCAACGGGATTAGGATAAAGGGAGAGTTCTCCACTCATTGGGGGCGAGGGAAAAGGGGGAATTTGACCCTCCCAGATGTACAGTGCTAATGAGTTTCAATCAAAAACTTGGTACTTGTACATTACTGTTTTCAGTAAACAAATGAGATGCCAAGAGAGCAGAGCTTGCTTCAGGCACAGAACAGTTCACAAATGCCACGTTGTCACGCTCGTTCCACAAGCCATGAGAACAATCTGATCCTCCTCATGTACGAAGCAAAAACAACTTGTGGTCTTAGTCTAGCTCTAGCAAATGCTCATCCAACTCAAACACGGTTTGACATAAATTACAGGCTTTGTGGGAATAGCCTGGAAGGAGTAGAGGTGGTGGGCTTAATTCTTATATCCCTCTGAGTATAATGTCATGGCATCCCCTACAGAATACTGTAAGTGTTCAATTGCACACTCAATTAAAACAAACAAAAAACCAGCTCTGACATCTCCTTAGGTTTTCTACTTATATGTGAGAATAATCAGTCAAAACCTGCAAGTTTTGTTATTCCATATATTCGTTTTAGCCAACATTTTGTGAAAGACCCTCCAAGGGACAGATCCTGCCCTCACGTTTGTAGAACTACACAACCGAGTGTACAGTCTGTGTACACAACTCCGGAGGCCACATCAGCAGTGTGGTCCATTTTGAGGGAGGAGATGGGATGCATGAACCTAAAGAAAGCCAAGTACTCCTGGAAAGGGGCCCCCCCTCACAGCCTGCAGTCCTAACCCAAACCTACTTTTCTCACCTTGTCACAGAGGGATTTAAACACCATCAGAGAACAAAGACTATTTGAATTGCACCAAGTCCTGTCTGCAACCAAGTGTTGTCTGGGTCTGTGGTATGGGTCCGTCTGCCCACAGGACCCGCTGCATCTCTGGGACTAAAAACTTCCTGTGACACAAGGGAAGCTTAGATTTGGTAGAAAAACAGAGCGTTTTTAAAAGAGTGCTCTAAAAATGTCCATGAGGTACAAACTTGCAAAACATATAGCAAATATTCAGGACTGCTATACCAATAGGAGCTCTGCATTGCTTAGTGTCCAGACACTTTCTGATAGTTCACATAGGGCTGATTATTTGTGTCTTTTTGTGAAAGATACAGTGGCTTTATATCTGTTTGCTAAAACCATAGTCTTTGGATACGAACCTGCCATGCCCTTCACCCCAGCACAAGATCATCAAGTTGAACTTTCCATTTCCATTGTCCACAAGATTTCTTGTATACCTGAAATACAAAGTGTTTGCTTTTTACTGTTCTGATGTGCCTATAAAAGACAAAATTATACAAGCATGTTTATGAAGGAAGGTTGTGACATATAGAAATCCTTTTTCTTCTTTTTCTTGAAAGCTGTGTTTTACTTGGAAAAAAAATGTATTTTTAAGCTTTTTTTTTGTAAGAGTTCTTTTTCTGGGAAGGAAAAGAAATGGACATATTTAGTATTTTATACTCATATTGCTTTTGAATTACATAGATGATTGGAGTTTGGGAACTGTGAGTCTGAGACTAATGTGGTAGACAGAATCAAATCAAAATAGTTACTGAATGAAGTCACTTCAGCAGCTGGCTTATAATTAGAAACAGAGGACTGCAATGAAACAGGAAAAATACATGGTCACATTCCTCTGCAGCTCCTTTTCAGATACTCTTGGCTTTCCTTCTGTTATGCAGCACTCATTTGTACAAAGCCAAAAACCCAAAGAAATAACATGTCAGGCTTTCCGTACATGGTCCTCCTACTCTGTTCGTGAAAGTTCTACATCTTGTACTATAGCATTCATGTGTGAATAAAACACCTGTGGGGTAGTTTCTGCCAGCATCTACTTCTAAACAAAGTTTATCAGAGTGAGATTTCTTAAAAAGATTTTTCATATGCTAGGTGCCATTATAGGTGGCACAGAATAAGCTTGCTCCTAAAGGCTTTTTATCGATACATGTGTTCTAGACTGATTTGCTCTCAGGGCTTGAAAACATCTTCAATAGCAACACCTTATGTTCGTTTCCTTGAACTCTCCTGCAAGTCTCCCCCGAGCTGCCGCTCGTCTCGTCCTCTTGAAAAGTTCCCTAGAGAAGGGAGTAGGATTTTGCTCTATACATCACTTTCCATAGTGGGGCTCTTCTGATCCGGTGCTGGAGCTTCTAGCCGCTATGGTGCAAGTAACCTAGCAGGACCTTTCTGGTTTCATTTTAGCTTTAGTCATGACTATTCACACTTTGCAAAGTAAAGCAAATATTTATGCCGATGACAGGACGCCTCACTCTCACCTAAAAGATGCAAGCAGGGGCACACAGAAAGGGCACTGATGTCAACTGGATGTTTTTTAATTAGTTTCCCCGTAAGACCGCCCTATTTTAATCAAGATAGGATGCTCATAACGAATTACTTTCAAAGCTAACATGTATATGTATATGCTGTCTCCCACTGCATCCACAATTTGTGTGTATATTAGGTAGACATATTTCTCCTACGATGTCAGAACATAAGCTATCAATGCTGGCATTTGACTGAACATTTCAAGTGCTGTTATTTCTGTACAGCAGGTCTGGCTGGCCAAAAAAAAAAAAAAGGCTGCCATGCATACTTCTATTGTTAGCACACACTGTTTTTCCGATTCTTAGTTTCCTATGTTCTGTTACAAATCATGTTCTGAATGGAAGATAGTCAACGCGAGGTGAAAGGAGGCTAAAAAATGTCAAGCCAGGGTGATGCTTTCATGATAGCAAGGTCAAAAGGAAAAGCTTTGGGAGGTTGGGAGGGGTGGTGTTTGTTTTTTAAAGGAAATGCTCAAATGAAATGTATTTGTATTGAAATTTAAGACAGGGAAGCCACAAACAGCAGGAAAAAGTTAGTTGTTAGCAAAGTAGGAGTTACTCAAAACCCTAACAGGTATTTTCCTTCCTCCTGGCAAGCAGCAAAAACCCTCGACCTGCACTACCCCGGAGGAGGAAGGGACTGAATATGGGGGGCAGACGGTTCCCGACCCACCGGTGAGGCCGGGAATTCAAGCACCGGCTCCTCTACAGAAACCGAATATCCACTTTGGAGCGCTCCGCTCCCCCACCCCAGCAACGCCGCGCAACCCCGGCCGTTGCAGCGGTTTCTGCTGCATGCTTCTCTCGGGCT